GGGTGTATCCAGGATTTTTTCTGGGTGGGTGTGATAATAATTTTTTGGACCTTTCCACAGCAAGATGTGATTTACAATGTCAATACGCAGGGCGTGTACAGGATTTTGTACCAGGGGGGGGGTCTAACCGTACCCAAACTTGGGAACACGCGAAGGGGGGGTCTGGACCCCCTGGACCCCCCCTGTACCGCCCTGACAATTTAATTAAACAAAAAATTTTGTAAAAAAAAAAATGTATTAGTTTTAAAAAAAGTTTTCTGACTCAGTTGAAAACAGTTTTTTTGAACTTTTTGTCTTTATCTTGTCTTGTTTTGATCTTGTCTTGTCTTTGTCTTTCGTCCAGTCTTTGTCTTTCTCTTTTATTGAACAATTTTGTTTAAAAAAAAGGTCAGTTTCAGAATTGCTGCGATTGGGATCTCTTTTACTCAGTAGACTTCGCTTAGTACAAATGCCATCAGCTATATCAGTATATGTGACTCATTCATTCTCATGCGTGTGAGTCGATTATGAGTCATACCCCTCCTTCTGACCAGCCTCTATCGTGACTCACCAAACCAAATCACCTACCCGAATACGGCATACAAACCTCTCCATTTTCATTGCTGCCATCATCGCGGCTATCGGCTGAATTCGTCAAATTTTCAGCCGTCTCACAGGATTCTTTCAGGTCCTCCGCCATGTTTTTCGCAGTCATGGCGTCACTGCATTATCATGCATGACAATTTTTAATAAAAATTGCTACACCTGAAAATAGAGAAGCGTAAATAACATTAAGGTATTTGCGTATACTTTTATTGCGCATTACGAAGTTAGATTTTCTTGATCAGGATAAACTTGTGAAAACCAATTTATGCGCATTTCGCAACACGCGTCGCGCACATGCGCACTGCATTTGTTTTGACGAAGATGGCGGGGTTTCGAGAGCATGAAAAGCGATTCTTTCCGATAAAAAATGGGAAATCCGCCGTTAACCTGTTTAAATATGAATTGACAGAGTGCCAAGAACCGAATCTTGTATTGTTGTCTATCGTCGCCGGAGCGATCGAAAATATTTTGACCTCGAATCGCTTTCTAACGCCAGAAATCGGATCGCGGAGGCTGGAGCATGGCTTCCCTACGCCACTAGAACTGATCAGCGTTGAAACGCTGTACACCAGATTTGAGCATCTCGTGAAATCGAACGTCGATTTGAGTAAACACACTGGGAAGTTCGCTACTCGTGAGCTATTGAAGAGAGTATCTGACGTCATCTGGCAATCACTCACGAGAAGTTACTATAAAGACAAGGCACACTTGCAGTCTCTGCACAGCTTTCTCACAGGTAAGTTAATGATTGGCAGTGAGTGGCTGGAGGCACAGGCACTTGAAACGTCTCAATAAAAAAAAGAGGTAAATAAACACGAAATGTATTTACTACCAAAGTCTTAATGTTTCTCTACTCTATTTCGCCTATAATAAATCGCCTGTAAATGCCGGTCAAATGCTCATCTGCAACACACAAGTACACGCGGTCACCGCACGCTAGCTGCGGTTCAAGGATAGAGAACATGGGTCCCAATAAAACCAATGTCATTTACATCAATATAATTTATAAATATAATATTATATAAATATAATAGGTTAGGGTTATGGTTAGGGTTAGGGTTAGGATTAGGGTTAGGGTTAGGATTATAGGGTTAGAATTAGGGTTAGGGTTAGGTTTAGGCACATTGGTTTTATTGGGACCCATGTTCTCTATCCTTGGGCCCTAGCTGCTGCACACTGACACATAACTATATATTTATGTGTCAGTGTCCAGCAGCTAGCGTGCGGCGGCCAGCGTGTGACAGTGTGTTGCAGATGAGCATTTGGGCGGAATTTACAGGAAATTGTCGGCAATAATAGGTGAAAGAGAGTAGAGAAATCGAAACATTAAGACTGGTACTGGTAGTAAATAGATTTCGTATTTATTTAGCATTATATATTATTGAAACGCTCCAAGTGCCTGTGGCTGGAGGAACGGCAGCCGTATCTCCAATTTACGAGGCTGGAGGTACGTACGGCAGTCCATTCGCTTTCATACAAACAAGGCAAAGATGGCGGCGGCCAATTCAGATTTCGAAATAATGCATTGGGAAATAAATTCACGTTTTGAGAGTTTTTATGACCTAGAAAACACTTGGATTGGGTATGAAAGTGAACATTATTCTAAACTTGACATCAGAAGATCGCAAATAATTGCCTCAGTCTTCAAACAAACGTCAAAAGGGGCTTCAAAGAACGACGGCTGCCGTACCTCCAGCCACTTCGTTAATGATTTTATGCAGTATTTAAAATATATATATTACGCAAATTGTATGAAGGTGTGAAATGTGTAAATATGCTCGTACGTGGTACTATAAAAAGACATTGTCCATCTGGATTTAAGCTAAAGCGTCAACACAAAGCTCTACAAAATTTTAATTGGGGCAGATCATGCATGTGAGGATCGATAATGCGTCGTTTAAAACCTAGGCCATGGTCGTAGATTTCACACCGTAAAGATACAATCATTCTTCACCCACGCATACACACACATACATGCTGTTGCATTATTATCGTCGATAGCAGATTTCACCAGAAGATGTTGTTTCTTGCAGGAAACAAGCTAGACTGTTTCGGAGTGGCGTTTGCAGTGGTCGCAGCCTGCCAGTTGTTGGAGCTCCGTGATGTCCACCTGGCTCTATCGGAAGACCACGCGTGGGTCGTCTACGGAAAAGACCTGGAAAATTCCGCGGAGGTCACCCTTCATGGTAAAATAATGCAAAACGTAGTGCGAATAAATATGCGTGGATGGTGCGCGAAATTCATGTACATTATATAATATAGTGGTATGTATACCATGTATGCCAGTAACAAAATCAGGGAGTGAGTGTGTCAATGATCCCTGGTAATTCACACTATTCTCCTATATATGCTCTATATATGCTATATGCTGAGAAAGGTTTGCGGCTCCACGTGTGAAGATTTAACTGTATGTTCAGGATGGACCTGTCTGATCTGGATCACTTGTTCCTTCCTGATCTGCCCAAACAAATGCAAGTGTGCCTTCACTGGCTAAACTGCCGCTGTGACCTAGCTATCACAGAATGGGTCATAAATAGCAACAAGCACGCATTGGCTGTTATGTGCCGCCATATTGTATTTAATCTTGTACGAATATACCTCGCCTACAGTGTTAGATCAGGTGGAATAAGTTCAGTGGATCTGATCAAGCAAATGGTTAATTCATTGGACCCGCAAAATTTGGTTAATGCTTAGTATCCACCCAAACAGAAACACTTCCTGATACTTGCATTTTTGTTCTGTAGGGTGTTATTGCATTTACATCATATTTTCATCATCGTTAATATTATCAAGAGTAGGGCCTACAATACATAATAGAGATATTCTCTATTAATTATACATGTACTCTTGATATTATGTTTCCAACAGCAAGAATGCTAGTCGAATTGGTATATGGTTTATTTAAATATGAAACGACAGTAGGTCCGCTGTACGATAGTTGCGAGCACAATCCACTCCTTAGTGAGTAATTCTAATTGATTTGAACTACCAAACTATCATCAATTTCTCACTCCATATAATATACACATGCGATTTATGAATTATTGCACTTCACAGTGACGATCATTGTTGGCGGTCTGTTATCGTAAGTTGGGTTAAAGTCCACACGGTGCGGCTGTAGGTGAAATTATACTGAAAGGGTATACGGGTGACAGGCACTTAATTATAGCCACCAATCAATCTCTTCATGTGATGTACGTGGATATTCTATCAGAATATATGGGTGAATGTTGTCCTGTCACGTGTTAATGTGACGAGTGATAAAAAGGATGAGTCTGGACTCTGTTGTATGAATGTATCAAACCTGTACTAATTATGCAGCATTTTACCTTTTGTTCTTCATTCCTGCCTGCGTGTGCTTAAACCTACTTGTGTTGTACAATAGTCCTGGAGGTAGCATTGCTGATTGCTTGTTGCTCTTGGGCGATTTTCATATCGTGGGTGTGTCGGTTTGGCATAGGTCCGAATTAGATTAGCATCACTGTGATCTTGATCTGCCAAAAACCTCGGCTGTTCCTCACACTTGTTCTTTAGCTGTCATTGCGATCTGTCAGGGGACAGTTGCATATATGGGCAGTACGTGGTTGCTGACTGACTGATATATTGGATTTGCACCGATACACCTCACGAGGAAGGTCAATTTAAATTTTAATCGTGTCGTGTGTCATGGCAGTGATTCTTAGTTACTTCTCTTCTCGTGGAGAATAGGGCTGGAAATCAAATTTCTCCACGACGTTCTATCTTTGGCAGCGCTTTCGGCCTTGTTCCATGTTTTAAACCCTAATGTAATCTTTTCTTTCTCCAGTGTCCTTCGCCATGTTTCCCTTGGTCTTCCCGTTTTTCTCTTTCCCTCTGGTGCCCATGTCAGGGGCGTGCGTGGGGCGTCTAACTGCCATGAGAAGAAAGACGAAAGTCTTTCTTCTCATGGCAGTGATACAAACAAACAACTAGCTAAGCTATCATATAGTATTAGTGTTGATTATGATGGATGATGCAACTAAATAAGCGCATCCATAGCTTGCAACCATCGGCGCTGTCTTTCACAAGTTTTACTCGATGTGTAGTTATAATCGCAAAAATCCTATGTTATATCATCATAAATAAGTAATAAAGTAATGACAAAAATTGAATTAAATTGGTAATTAATTAATTAAATTTTACTAATTGCTTACTTTATTATACTTAATTCGTCGATTTGCATCATTGTCTGCCAGTTAATCCTATTGTGTTTATGATTGCTCTGGCGATGAGTAGCTAGCTGCCAAGGTCATGCTTCCAGTTTTGCCACTGTACTATCATTAAATTACTAGATACAGTGATGGCTTTATGGGAACAGTTTAGGGACCCTGAAAATGTCCCGAGTAAGCGGTGTTCCCGTTTAAGTTGTGAACAAATAACGACTTGCGTGAGAATTGTTTGCCAAAGACATGTCGTTTAGGCGATGCACCCGTTTATCCAAAGCCTGATGAAGTAGGGACAACTGTTTAACCACTACTACTGCTTCTGCTGCTACTGCTACTGCTGCTGCTACTGCTACTGCTGCTGCTGCTGCTGCTACTGCTACTGCTGCTGCTGCTGCTGCTGCTGCTGCTACTGCTACTGCGACTACTACTACCACTATAGTACCAGGAGTGAATAATAATGGCTAATAATATAAGTATTATTCACTCAGGACTGCTAGTACTACTAGTCTTCTACTACTACTACTACTACTACTACTACTACTACAACTAATAATAATACTAATACTACTAGTACTACTACTGCTACTGCTAGCGGTGGTGGCCATGACAACGAAGCAGCGAAAGAAGATGAATGATTGTGAAGCACTGCTGTACTCTCTCTCTCTCTCTCTCGTCTCAGGCAAGGGTTACGAGGACAAGCGGGGGCAGCCGATCACGTCCGAGCTTGCCTACAAGAGCTGGCTGTACGTGAACGGCCACCCGGTCGTGTGCACGCGCCAGATGGAGGTAGCGGCGCTCGTGTCCGCCGTCAACCCGCACATCAACGCGACGACCGACAGCTACGACCTCGGATGTCTGCAGCAGGTAGGGGGCGCCGCTGTGCGAGAGGCTGGGTTAGGTTCGCTGGAGGTCGTTTCTTATGTAGTGCGAGGCCACCGGTTAGATGGCTTGTTATGTCGTGTAGGGGCGTTTGTTATATTCTGTAGGACCGTTTGTTATGTAGTGCGAGGCCACCGGTTAGATGGCTTGTTATGTCGTGTAGGGGCGTCTGTTATATATCCTGTAGGACCGCTTGTTATGTCATGTAGGGCTCTTAAATCATGTAAGTTGACACACGAACTCGGTTGATGCAAGCCGTTATGTGAAAGGTTTACTCGTTGGTTTATTAGGGACTTGCTATATTGCACTGTGTTACCTCACGAGTTCTCAAAGTTTCTGCTAGTGGTAACCTTGTGTGAGGAGGACGGTTATCATCATAGGGCTTGCTCGTTATAATGGATTAGTATGTGTTACAGTGTATTAATTAGTATATGTATTAATGAATACATAAGAAATAGTCCGCTAAGGGTATTTGACATGACCTGTTTATATCATGAGGCCAGTCCTCGGTGAAACTGTGTCAACTGAAAGATTCTATTTCGGCGCATCAAATTAATTGCTCCTGTGTGATGACTGGACCTGTGATTCGCGTGTGTTGACGTCTGATTATGTTCGCTGTGTGCATAACAAGTTGCCACAAGTTTATCTACCTATACCGAGTACTGACCGAGAAACCATGTAAGGGAGATAACCTGCCGCAGCGTCCACATTGGTTATCAGGCGTGTTTGCTGTACAAATGCACAATCTCCTTCCACTGCTGATTCTGCCACGGCACCCACTAGCATTACAAATCTACCAATTAAAAAACAAAAAAATTACAAATTCAGTTTACAAATTATAAATTACAAATTTGAGTTTTAAATATTAAATTGTTAAAATTATTATTATTTTATTTAATGGTAATTTACAAATTCACCAGCACTATTGCTGCTTACAGCTGCTACAGCTGCTTCATCTGTGATAGAAATGAGAATCCATTTATGATTATGGCAATGTGCAGGATCCCTAACATACAATGTAGGTTAAGTATAAAGTTATTGTGTATAAATGTATACCTACATATCAAATTATTGGCTATAACATGTTTGTAACATATCTGGAAATAAAGAAATTATAAAAAAAAGAAATTAGAATCTAAAGTAATGTGACGCTCGTGCCCGCAGGAGCTGCTATGGATGATGTACGACCTGGGTCACCTGACGCGCTACCCGCTCGCGCTCGGTAACCTTGGCGACCTTAACGAGATCCAGCCGGACTTCTCTCGTCCGTCGAGCATCTCGCTGTTCAACGAGGCTATAGAGGCCGACCAGCTCTACTACAGCAACCAGCACGTGTACCCTTACACGTACCTGGCCGGCTACTGCTACAGGTACGCTCGTTAGCTCTACTACAGCAACCAGCACGTGTACCCCTACACGTACCTGGCCGGCTACTACTACAGGTACGCTCGTTAGCTCTACTACAGCAACCAGCACGTGTACCCCTACACGTACCTGGCCGGCTACTACTACATGTACGCAGCACGCTCGTTAGCTCGTTACACGTACCTGGCTGGCTACTGCTACAGGTGCGCTCGTTAGCTCATTACATGTAGTTGGCCGGGGGGGGGACTGCTACAGGTACGCTCGTTAGCATGTGTACCTGAACACTTACCTGGGCAGGTACTGCTACGGGTACGCTCGTTAGCATGTGTACCCTGTACACTTACCTGGCCGGTTACTGCTACAGGTATACTCGTTAGCACAGGTACTCTCATCAGCACAGGTATGCTTTTTGACATGGATACCTATACACGTCTACCTGGCCAGGTACTGTTACACACATGCCTATTAGCACAAGTGCGCTTGTTAGCACGTATACTTTTACAACTACCTAGCTCATTAATTCCACAGGTACGTTTGTGCGCGCACGTATCTAGTGTCCTGTTTACAAATATAATAAGTGTTTATTGGTGTATCGGATGCATTCATCGTATATTTCGTTGCCAGCGTGGCACAGTATAATATGAATGTGATTACGCGTGTTTCAGGCATCACCAGTTTAAGGAAGCATTGAAGAACTGGGCAGCAGCAGCAGACGTTATCAGAAAGTAAGTAGCTTCGTTAGTGCTACAGACTCCCCCTGGGAAGCCAGAAGCAAAATTTCACAAAATTTCTTAACGTGATTTGAATTTTGTTCAATTTTTTTTTGTTCACTTCCATAATATAATTAAAGGTGCATCATATACAGGGGGTTTCTACAAAACGTACAGTTAAACCTGTGGGGTGTGTGAAATCCACAGTCTTACCTGTGTTTTGTGAAGCCCAGTTTAACCTGTGTTGTGTGAAACCCACAGTATTAACTATTGACTGTGTTGTGTGAGGCCCATAGTGTTACCTGTGTTGGGCGCGTGGCTTTGTGTGAAACCCACAGTATTAACTATTAACTGTGTTTTGTTAGGCCTATAGTCTGTGACCTGTGTTGCATGAAACCCACAGTTTAACCTGTGTTCTGTAAAGTCGTAGTTTTAACCTGTGTTGTGTAATGTCTACGGATTAACTTATGTTGTGGAAATTTACAACGAATTGATTAGTTTTCTTATAATTTATTATTACTACTATTATTATTATTATTCATTCATTCAGTATTATTTATATTATTTTTATTTTTATTGATTATTATTTTAGTATTATTTAGGTATTTTAGGTAAATTTAGGTATTTATTTATTTAGTATGCATATTAAAGTTGAAGATAGCTTCAAATCTGGCATTTAAGCAAGACAACCTCAGAGCATCGGCGTTTTGAC